ATGACAATGAACCACTAGTGTTCAGTGTGGATGAATCTCACGATTCTGAGTTGAATGTTACTCAGAAGCCAGAGACAGGCAAATTAACCTACAGTGATCTAAGTGAGATGGGGCCACATTGAGGGGGTTGGGATGATGATGGGAGGAACATGAGGGGCTTCTGAAGTCTTGGTAAAGTCTGACTTCACAGGGATTTAACACAGAGCCTGTGTGTGCCAGGCAAGTTCTCCACTGCTGAGCCACCCCCCAGCCTGATTCCTTGATCGGGGTACGGGCTACACAAGTGTGTTCACTTTGTGAAAAGTCACCAAGCTATACACATGGTTTGTATACTTTCTAGAGTAAAGCTTCATTGAAAAGATAAAATATGTATGTATCTTTTTAAACTAGGGAACCACTCTAGATGAAAGCAAACTAAAGAAACTAAAAGGAAAAAGGAGTGTAAACCTTGTTGCTCACTTGGCTCATGATTTTCTTGTAATTGGGCAATCTGAGGATTATACATCAAATATTATTTTAAGCTGGGCATGGTGAGCAGGCCTATAATCCTAGCACTCTAGAAAGCTTAGGCAGCACTATCACAAATTCAGCCCAGGCTGGGCAATTTAGCAACTCATAGAAACCCTGATGTAAAATTAATTTTTTAAAACAGACTGAGGATATGGCTTAGTACCAAGACCCTAGGTTCAATTTTCAGTACAAAAATATTTATCAGTGCTAAATTTCTTGTGTGATGCTGGAGAGTAGTGCTTATATAGGAAAGTAAGCTCACTCTTGTGAAAGGCAAGTATTCTAGGATAAAAGACCCTGATGTCTGCACCCTTTAAATAGAAATATACATATGAATGAGAATAGCCAACTCAGCAAAGTGGAAATAGGGCATCCTGATGAACTTTTTATTTTTTTTATTTTAAAGAGAAAAAACAATAAAAACAATGATACAAAATTTCAAAACAAGATAGTAGGAGAGTAACAATGGTCAGTATATTGCTTATCTTCAAAGTAGTTGCTCAGATTTGGTGAACATTTTATGGCAGTTTTTCAGGAGTTCGCTTATTATTCTTTTCACTTTCATGGGTTGGAAAATTTTCAAAATAAAAATGTTTATTTGGGTATGTGGGGTTGGGTTGGTTTTGAGACAAGGTCTTGCCATGTAGATCAAGCTGGCTGTGAACTCAAATCTTCCTGCCTTAGCCTCCCAGACAGGCACCACCATGCCTGGATTCAAATTAAAAAGTTGAAGGAGGAAATGTCTCATCTGAACTGCTGTTATTCAAGAGTTCAACAGACTTTCAAAGCTATGTACAGGGGCCAGTGATACAGCTCAGCAGTACAACACCTGCCTGGAAAACACAAGGTCCTGAGCTGATTTCTCTCTCTCTCTCTCTCTCTCTCTCTCTCTCTCTCTCTCTCTCACACACACACACACACACACACACACACAAACCTTTGTACAGAAGGCAACAAACAGGCCCTAAGCACTTGCTGTGATGCTCTGACGCTCTCTACATCCATGCTCCCCGCCACCTCACATGGAGCTTAAGCTGGGCTGATTCTGATTGTTACCCTTCAGAAATAAATACTCTGAAAGGTGAAGCCTCAAGTCTCAGTGCTACTGAAAGCTGGTGCCCCAACCAGAGCCTGTCAGGACAGAAGCCACACTCTGCTACCCCTTCACTGGGCTCTTCTAGGTTCCCTGCTTCTGTGTCCTAAGCAATCCAAAAATTACTATATCAAATAAACTGCAACACACCTGAAATCTTCGTTCTGCAGTCCTCAATGGTCAGTCTACAGATTAAACAACACTTCTGCTCTGCACTGAACACAGAAAGGCTACAGGCAAGTACAGGAATAGGGATAACATATCTTCTTCCTATAGGCCACGACATGTACAGATTTAAGGGGACTTGGCTAAGAGACTAGCCCTGCCAAACAGCCATGTGGGGGAAAGAGAACGGAACATGAAGAAACAAATGAAATACAATCTTGCTGGTAAACTAAAAAGACTAGGCTGGGGAGGTGGCTCAGTAGGATAAGTGCTTGCCTGGTAAGCACGAGGGCCTGAGTCCAATCCCCAGTTCTGCCACACACACACACACACACACACACACACACACAACCTAAAAAGACTAGACTTCACTATCCTGGAAAAACAAATGTGTTTCTCTGAAATGGGTAAATCACCAAGGAAAGCCAGCAGAAATGTCAGCACTGAGGGCATTCTTTTAAATTCCAAAGCCCAGATGCAGAGGCGCATGCCTATAATCCCAGCACTCCAGAGGCTGAGGCAGGAGGATCACTGTGAGTCCAAGGCCAGCCTGTACTACACAGTGAGGCCCCCATCTCAAAAAAAACCCCAAAAATCCAAAGAAAAGAACTTCACTAAACTAGTAGTCATCACATAAAAAATTATGCAAACCAGGTTTAGTGGCACATGCCCATAATCCTTGTATTCAGGGGGCTGAGGCAGAAGGATTTACCTAGGCTACATAGCAAGACCTTGTCTCAAAAAAAGTTATTATTATAAGAATAATACAGGCTTGTGAGTTAGTTCAGTTGTTTAAGTGCCTGCTTGGACAAACCCAGTCAGGCACAGGGGATCACAGTTCGATCCCCAGATCTGGTCCTAAGGCAGCCTGAGCCAGCGCCCCTCCCCCAAAAAAACAAGGAAAACAAAGAATAATATAAACCCAGTTAATCCTCAGAACAACCTATAAGCAAAGAACTAATACTGTTCCTACTTTACAGGAAACTAAGGCAGAAAAGCTTGGTAACCTTTCCAAGATCACATGGTAGGTAAGCATGGGGCCAGGACTCCAAGCCAATCAAGGCAGTTATAGAGCCTACACCTGTAACCATTACTCTACACTGCCGCTGAAGGGGTAGAAAGAGTTGGTCATTCACTCACTATCTTTTGAAACCAGAGACTGCTATCACAAAGCCAACTAATAAACAGTTTAAGACAGACTGGTTCAGCCGGGGTCTAACTCTATGCAACCCTCCTGACACAACCCAGATTTGGGAGAATTATCAAACAGTCCTTTCAATCCCACTGTTTGTTTTGTTTTGGTACCAGGAATTGAACTCAGGACCTAGCACTTGCCAGACAGACACTTGGGCCACTGAGCTAAATCGCCAGCCCAAATTCCACTGTTTTGACTGAAGAAATGGGAAATCAGCCGGATTAGGATTTAATGAAACAGTAGGGGAGGGTGAAAGGGGTTTGGTTCACTTAAAAAGTCTGCACTTGCAGCTTATTTGACAGCCACAGAATCTGGAGTGAAGAGTTCAAGTTTGTCCCCAGCTGCCAGAATATTCTGATGCAATCCCATCTCTATCAGTTTGGAAAGGAGGGCAAAGAAGAGGAAGAGGTAATAATCAAACAAGTGTTGGCCAAGCCCCAGGAAAGGCCCTTAGATCCTTTTCTGCATGTACAGAGAGGGCAATTCTGAGAACTAAAGGAATACTAGCGTGACAGTAACTCCAAGTATCAACTTTTTCTTTTCAACTATCTTCACTAGCACTGGCAAATCAGAAGAGTCAGAAGCTGAGGACATTTTGCAAACAGCAACACTCTTCAAACAGCCCATGGGCATTCTTAACACATAACAGTGCAAGAAACCCAGAAGCCTGGGCACTTCAGCAAGTTAAGCAGGCTAAAGTAAAAAAAAAAAAGTGGATTCTTCATACATTCACCAAACTCTCAAATTTCTTGACAGCGAGAAGACCAGAACCAGTCCTAGTTGTCACCTTGCTCTACAAGCATCTCCGTCCTGAACCACACACATTGCTTACGAGGATACAGAAGCTGGCTGGGGAACAACACCTTTAAAAGTTCCAACGGCTCCAAGTGAGACTCTTCTAACAGACTTAATGAGTAAGACCGCAAGAAACGCTAAGTGGTAGCCTTCTTCCTAGGAAGGAAGTGCAACACTAATAAGCTGCAGAAGAACTCTAAAAGGTGCTCCAAGGAAGAAGGAAAATGACTGCTAAGGTCCCAGGATGAAACCTGATTTTCTTCCTAGGTTTAATCATAACCAAACTTTCACAGAGATGGCTGACTAGTGGCGTCACGCATAACGGGGTGGAAGGAAATCCAGGCTCAACTGGGCGCGTGACCTCGTACGTTACAAATCGTAAGTGCATTTTCAGGAAATGGGGGATTCATGGCCTGTACTTTGTAAAGGTTGTAGTGAACTTGAAACGAGATAATAAACATAGTTTGTCCTCAGCACGATAGCACCACGCAGCGAACGCGCCGTCCTTCTTAACCCCTCTCTCCTCACTCCACTGCCTCTGGACTCTCCACCCCTCCCGACGCCTACCATCACGGCCTGCCCACAGCAGAAGCTCAAGCGTCAACATCCTGGACCTCCTAGTCTCCTTCCTAAATCTGTAAGTGAAAAGCTACGGAGGAATTCTTGCCGAGAAAACACCGAACCAAGGAAGAGAGGCTGAGGATCCAGCCACAAGCTTGGTGGCGTCTGCTGTTTACAGTGCGTCCCCTCCCTGCCAACGCACTCTGCGAGTCGGAGTCTATTTCCAACTTGGCGAAGAAAGCAGAAAGGTGACGAAAGACGAAGACGCCGGCAAGGGGGCCACTCCTGGAGGCCGGGGCTGCGGGGGACAAGCAGAGACGCTCGAGCCTCTCACCGCCTCTCCTCACTCAGCGGCCTCACAGCTCCCGCCTGGCGTTAGGACAAGAGACCTCCAACCACCCTTCAAACTCCAGTGGGCTTAGAAGGGCGGGCAGGCAGGAAGGGGGAGCTGGCAGACGCGGCCGACGGCTCCGGCTCGAGAACGTGAACCGAGAGGGGTCACCGGGGGAGGGGCCGCGCAGGGAGGACCAGGAGAGGGGCGGGGCCCGGCACCCGGCGAGGGGTCGCGGACCCCGGCTTCGGCAACTCGAGGTCTCCGCCTGGCTTCCAGCTGCACGCCGAGTGGCCCCTCCAGCCCGGGTCCCCGCCACCACCACCGCGGGGTTGTCCCACTCCCCTCACCTGTTTCGGCTGCTCTGCTTGCTCCGAGGACGCCATCTTTTTGAGGCCTGTCTAATCTACCGCCGCTGGACGAGATTTCTCCCAAGCGCCCTCGCTCAGGTTCTGCGCCTCAGACAAAAGTAGAAGCAACTGAGTCTGTCGATGGGGAAGTGCTGGGGCAAAGGGTGGTAACTGGTGTCTGGGTCACCTCCCATAATTTTCGGAAATCCAGAGGAGTCTATTCTTTGGAAGAAGTCACTCTATTCATTTTTTTTTCGTTGTCATAGTAGTATTATTATTCTTGAATTAAATCTGTTGTTTCCATAGTGCAGTGGGCATGTTTATGATCTAAGTATTTAGTAAATGAGTGAATGTGAAGAAACTTGGAAATTTATTTTTAATCATTCATTGTAATTCTACTGAGTGGCTACTCTTTGCCTCGTTTGGTAGGCTTTAGAATTTAAAAAAGCCAAAACCCAGGCACTGAACCTGGTTACTGCGGAAAGGTCTGTTGGGAAAACACAGAAGCTTCTACGAACTATTACGGAATTATAATACTTGAATTTTTTTGACTTTGTTTTGTTTTGTTTTTGTGATTCTAACGATCAAACCCAAAGCTGTCTTGTGCTGGATATACAGTACTATAGAGCCATATCCTCCACTTGAATTGTTAGATTTTTTAAACTGAAGACAAAACACTATCATATGAACATTGTGACTCTCAGCTTATATTAAAATTGTCCTTTGACCTAATTGGAGTTACCCAAATGGATTGCCTTAATTTCTCTTACCAAATACCACATTTCTTCACCCATATTTGTTTTTTGTTGGCTTGTGATACATGGACTGAACCCAAGACCTCATGCTGAGCTACATGCTCCGCTGTTTGTTGGCTTGCTTGTTTTGTTTTTTTGTTTTGTTTGGGGGGGTCTGCATATATTCTTTTTTAAAAAATTAAGTCCTTTTTATTTAGCTTATTTTGTTAAGAGGCAGGATCTGTCTAAATTGCTAAATTGCCTAGGCTGGGTTTAAACCTTCAATCCTCCTGCCTCAGCCTTCCAGAGAGCTGGAATTAGAGGTGGTATATGGTGGCATATGCCACCTCGCCCACCACTTGGCTTTTACAGCAAAGACAGGGAGACAGGACAACAGAAAACTAACTGGTTAGTCAACATGAAGTTACTTCATGTTGCCTCTTAAAGAATTAAAGCGCAGGGTCCTCCACAATCACTGGAAGTGGCCAGTTGGAGAAATTTGGCTGTTATTTCTCTAACCTTGATTTTCAGAAGTTCAAATAAACAGGTTAATTTCAACTTGGTGATATGGAACTTCAGCGTGAATGATTCCTTTTTTGAGTGTGTGTAATGGAGATGGAACCCAGAACCTCCTGCATGCTAGGCAAATGTTCTCATCTTGATTTTTTTTAATTTGATTTTTTGAGACAGGATCTCGCTGTGTAGTTTAGGCTGATCTCTAACTTGTGGCGATCCTCCTTCCTCAGCCTCCTGAGTGTGTGGATACCTGGCTTCCATCATGATTTTTAATCATCTAGGAGCCTAGTGTAGAGCTTAGTCCAAGGCAGTAGCCTTCTGAAATTTTTGTTTTGTTTTATTGAGAAAGGATCTTACAATGTATTTCAGGCTGGCCTGGAACTCATTGTGTAACCCAGGCTGGCTTTGAACTCTCAGCAATTCTTCTGCCTCAGCCTCCTGAGTGCTGGGATTACAGATGTGTGCCATCACACTTGCCATTGAAATTGTATTTAACAGCCTGTGTATGTATTTAAGATTTCATTCCAAGGCCCTAGCTCAATTTGCACCAGTGATGCAGTAATAAAATGGAAAAATTTAGGCCATTTTTTCTTCCCCTTTTTTATGCTACTTAGTTACATCTTCAGCAACACTGGAAAGGGCACTCTTCAATTTTTAAAATTCAGCCTATAGGTTGGAAGAGTTTACAGATAGAACTTTGCAGGTTGGAAAGGGAAAAACCAATAAGCACTTTACAGTGGCAGACTTTAATTTAAGTATTAGTATTATACATCTACTTATTCATGGAAGGATGCTCTGAACATTCAAGGATGTATACTTTGAAATGCAAAATAAATTCCTACTAACTGAATTTTAAACATTCTATTAAATAAGACTTGGATGTGATTCAGTAGCAGACCCCATGCTTAGCATGCATAAGGCCCCCAACACCACCCAAAAACAAAAAATGAAACAGCAAGCTACTCTTTGGGTGTATTCCTTCAAGTTACGGTTGCATGTGAATAGACTACAACTCCCGTCATGCTCCGGGGCCTCACGAGATTAATATCAGTTAGAACTACATCTCCCGGCGTCCCGCCGTCTCGTGTGTGATTGGCTGCTATGAGAACTACATCTCCCGGCAGGCCGCTGGATGGGGGGGAGTAGAAGGAGCGCTCTGACCGCCTTCCAGCGGCTTCTTGGAATTACTCTGGTCTCTTCTTGAGTATGGAGGCGACTGGGGATTCTGGTACTGTGGAAGCCGGCGAGATCCGGTCTCTGAAGGCTTGTCTGTTACGCCGCAACCGCACCCGCGAACAACACGGCGTGGCCGCCTCCTCCCTCGAAGAGCTGAGGAACAAGGGTTAGCCCTGCACCGGGCCCGGGGAGGGGGCTGAGAGCCCGGTGGGTCCAGATGCCTAACAGTACCAAGGAGAGGCCTGGGAAGGTGACTTGGAGATTCTTGCAGCACAGGAGGAGCCTTGGGACAGAAATGGGCCACGTGGGTATAGCGAGTAACAGAGTCTAGGCCTTTAACTCCTCTCGTGTTAGACTCGTAGTTGGGGAAAGGTTGGCAAAAAGTCATGTGCAGACGAAGTTCGCTTGGATTTAGGTGACCTGCCTGAGGTAACAGGTTTGGTCATCAACCCGAGGCTCGTCGCACAAAGGTAATAGCTGAGACAGGTTGCCTGCAACTGGTACCTGTGCCATTGAGGAAGCTGCTAATGACCTCCCTGGTGAGGTCCGCGAGAGGACAAAGCTCCGCGTCCAGCCCAACACACTCCATACTGCTTGCCCTTGCAACTAACCCATCCCTGAGCCCATAGTTTTCTCGTCAGCAGAGCTGCTGTTTGCAGCCCTGCTACAGATAAGTGTTCGGTCTCTCAAATAAGTCAAGGTATTCAAATGATTTACAAATTTTACTGGCCTGCAGGGCCAAGTCATGTATCCAAAGACGTTCTGCAGGTTTGTGCGAGCCGACCCAAATCATACAGTAGATGTGTCATGGTGATGTAGCCCCAACTATCTGACAGAAGGCATGGGACCCAGGAATGCCAAAGCACTATATCATGCTTTGATGACATGGTTTTTGCCACATCAGTGTTTACATATTTGTTCCTGGCATTAGGATACTTGAGTTTTAGTGCCATTCTGTGCACTGGTTGGGTGTACTTGGCACACAGGCTTTTGTCCTCTGCAGCTGGGCTTTTTAGAGGCTCACTGTTCTATTTTAGGTGCCTATTTTTTAACTCAGTCATGTATATTTTGAACATCTTTATTAATACATTCACTTCTACATGATTTTAAATTACTGATTTCTCATAAATATTCTATAATTTATTAAACATAATCTTTATTTATTTTTTATGGTACTGGGAATTGAACTGAGGACCCTGCGCTTGCCAGGAAAGCGCTTATTCTACTGTTCTATTTTAGGTCATAGTGTTGTCAGAAGATATTTGTAGTCTCTTTTTCTTCAATTTAGTCTCATTAGCGCTTAAGGTATCACCATCATTCAGTGAGATGGTACAAACCCATGTTGGAGAAAGCCCCTTGATGAGATTAAAATAAAAATCTAATGATACAAGCTTCTACTTCTCTTGTATTTCCTGTGAGCTAGTATAACAAGGAAAGACACTGGAAAAAAAAAAAAAAAAGCATTTCTTTCTTTTTTTTGACATTCGATGCACAAGAGAATTTTTTTATCTTGCGGTCCTGGGGATGAAACCCAGACACATAGGAGAATTTTAGATGACTACTGAATAAATAAATGAAATCCATCATCGAACCTCTTCTGGTTGGCTATTCATTCACATAACAATTTGAATGCCTTCTATATGTGGATGTAGAATGCTGCAGGAAGCACATTTTCATGAACCAAACTTGATTTAAACCCCCGCTCTGCCACTTATTGTGTGATATGTGACAAATTACTGGGCATTGAATTTGTTGTCTGTAAAATGGGAATAAAAGCAGGACTTGCTTCACAGGATTAATACTGTATGTGAAAAGTACTTAAAATAGTACTAGGCACTTCTCTGCCATATGCCCCTCTGCCTTGGCACCAGCCAATTATGGACCGAACTGTAAGCTAAATAAACCTTTCCTTCCTTTAAAAAAAAAAAAAAAAAAAAAAAAACCAGGTACATAGGATTGCATTAGCGCTTATTGTTACAATTGTTACTGTGATCATTATTATCCCCTCAGGTCTAGGGACTTGCATATTGAGAGCATTAGAGGAGATGTAATTTATGGACATCTTTCAGTTGCCAAATATTTTCTTCTCAGCCTGTGACGTTCTGGCCATCGACAAGTCGCTGACACCAGTCACCCTGGTCCTTGCAGAGGATGGCACCATCGTGGATGATGATGATTACTTCCTGTGTCTCCCATCAAATACTAAGTTTGTGGCCTTGGCCAGTAATGAGAAGTGGAAATACAGCAATTCGGGTAAGAAACTGGCCATATATGCAATAGGCACAACAGTTAATTTTACTACTCAGCAACTGCTTGCTATATGTCTGGCTGCTGAAGCTATTATGCAGTATTTACCTGAAAACGTTCTATCTACCAGACATGGTGCTAAGTCCTGGGGATGAAGACGATACAGACATAAGTCTGACACCAACTAAAATGCATCATCCTAGAGAAGGCAATATGACCACCTGGAGTCAAGCTACAAGGGTCTGAGTCTGGCTCTGCCATTTACTAACTAGTTAGTAAGTCTAGGCAAATTATATACCATCTCAGTGCCTTAATGTGGTCATAGTTATAGTACCTGTCTCCTAGGATCTCTAGAAGGATAATACAGTACGTGTCAAACTAGAATCTCTCATCAGTATTATTGATGTTTTGGTCTAGAGAATTCTATGGTAGAGAGGCTGCTTTGTATATGGTGTGATGTTAAGCAGCATCTTTGGTCTGTTCCCACTAGGTACCTATAGCAACTCCTTGACCCAACTATGACAACCAAGAATGTCTCTAAATGTTATCATATTTATATTTTACCTGACAGAGTGAAGGATTAACAAATATTACCGTGTGTGTGTGTGTGTGTGTGTGTGTGTGTGTGTGTGGTACCAGGGATCAAACTCAGGACTTGGAGTTGCCAGGTAGATGCTTATGCCACTGAGCTATTTCCCCGACCCTACCTTTTCACCATATTATCATCACTGGAGGTGAATAATATTGGCAAGCAAGAATGAAAGAGCTAAGGCAGTATCTCCAAAGCCAGGCATGGTGGCTCATACCTGTAAGTCCAGCACTTCGGTGGCTGAGGCAGGAGGATCACATAGAGAGTTCAACATGAGCTTGAACTACAAAGCAAAACCCTGCCTCAAAAAAAAAGTATCCCCCCAAAAAATCTTGTGTGCTCCTAAATTGAGAAAGTCACCCATCAGCAATGGCTCTATAAGCCACCTTTACATTTGGGTCTAAGGGACAGCAAGTGTAGGTTATTCCAGTTAAAATTGGGACCAATCTCCACATACAGAAATGCTGGTGAAAATGAATGTTTGCATATACAAAACCAGAACATATGCCAGATGTGGTGGTACATGCCTAAAATCCCAGCACTCGGGAGATTGAGGCAGGAGGATCACTGAGTTCAAACCCAGCGCTTGAACTACATAATAAGACCTTGTCTCAGAAAAACAAATAAACAAAAAACTAGAACATGCTCAAACCACAAAAAAACTAACAGAAAGGAATCGGGTAGGATCGTGGGTCTATCCATGGCTATATTTTGGGGTTAAGTGCCTTCTCTTCATAAAACACAAATAAATTGAAAGTGAAAGAAGAGGAAGCGTGACAGTCCTTGCTTTTGTAGGATTTCTTGAGTGAAGTTGCCTCCTCCATTGGAATGGTCCTGAATAGGGTCAGGAAGGATGCAGCCACCGTGGAGAGTCTGTGGGAGTAGGTGAAACCAGTGCTGGAAGTCACTCTAAGCCTGCTGTTCTCTCCTGTATGTCAGATGGTGGCACAGCTTGGATTTCCCAAGAGTCCTTTGAAGTAGACGAAACAGACAGCGGGGCAGGGCTGAAGTGGAAAAATGTGGCCAGGCAGCTGAAGGGAGATCTGTCCAGCATCCTCCTGCTGTCGGAGGAGGACCTGCAGGTAAGCCCCCTCCACAGCTGGTATGCACGCTCGCCCAGCCGCACAGCTCTGCTCAGTGTCCATGCCTCTTACCATGGTAATTCTGTGGTTTCTACTTTCCTTTGCAGCACTGGGGATTGACCCTGAGCCTATGCACTGCACGACTTCCCTGGCCTTGTACAGAGACAGGGGCTGGTTGCCCAAATTTTTTATCTTGGTTTTTTTTTTTTTTGTTTGTTTGTTTGTTTGTTTGTTTTTGGTGGAACTGGGGATTGAACTCAGACACTTGGGCTTGCCAGGCAAGCGCTTATTCTACTGAGCCATCTCCCTGGCCCCTTTTATCTTGTTCTCTCAGCCTTTCATAATGCTGGAGAGATTGTAAATGTGCACCACCACACTGATTATTTCTTTCCTTTTTTAAAACTCTTTTTTTTGGGGCTGGAGAGATGGCTCAGTGGTCTAAAGCACCTACTTAGAACAAGCTTGGCAAGGCATCAGGGACCGCGGTTCAATCCCCCAGCACCACATGCCAGCCGGCCCCGCCCCCTGGTGGGCTGAGCTGGCCACACACACACCACACTCTCTCTCTCTCTCTCTCTCTCTCTCTCAAATAATAAATAAAAAATAAATAAATAAATAAATAAATAAAAATAAAATAAAATAAAACTCTTTTTGGTCTTTTTGAGAGAGGGCCTTGCCATGCAGTTCAGGCTGCATGTAGCTCAGGCTGGCCTTCAACTCAAAGCAGTCTTCCTGCCTTGGCCTCCTGAGTGCTGGGATTACAGGTGTGCATCACAGTGCAGGCTCTTCTTTCTTTCTTTCTTTCTTTTTTTTTTTTAAACATAGTGTGCATTCATTTATTATATTTTATTTATTTATTTATTTATTTTTTGCGGAACCGGGGATTGAACTCAGGCCATTGCACTTGCCAGGGAAGTGCATATTCCACTGAGCCATCTCCTCAGCCCCGGCTCTTCTTTCTTAATTCCTTATCTGCCTCCACCTCCTACCCACCCCCACCCCCACCCCCTTAGCCTTATCCCATAACTTGCTGAGTATGAAACCCAGGGCCTTGTACATGCCAGACAAATACTCTACACCTAATAATTCGTTTTTGTTTGTTTGTTTTGGTGGTGGTACTGGAAATTGAACCCAGAGCCTTGCCACTGAGCTATATCCCTAGCCCCCCTTTTTTCTTCTTTTAATTTTGTATTTTGAGACTGTCTAGCTAAGTCTTACTAATTTGCCCAGGCTGAGCTCAAACTAGCAACCACCCCGCTTCAGTCTGCACAGCTTCGTTTTTAAATAATTCTTGCATTACAATTAAGTCTTCATTTTATGGTCTTTTTTCATTCTTCACTATGCATCAGAATTACCTGTGGATTTTTTTCTTAAATGCAAATGTCCAGGCCCCAGTAAGCTCTGGGGAGTAGAATGGGGGGGTGCTTCTAGCAAATGTAGATTTGCCAGGGAGGTGCTTATGTCACTGAGCTATCTCCCAGCCCTTGTAGCAGATATGGATTTGGAATGGTTGGTTCAAATCCAATTCTGTCATTGCAACTTTGAGGCAGCATCTTAGCTGCTCTGCTTACATTTATTTCCTCTCCAGCAAAACTGGGATAAAAATGTTGTTTTCATTCAACACTTTTGATCTTAGCCAAAAGGTCGAGAAGCAATGTGTTTTCATTTATAAGGAATAGACTCAACCCCTACTCTGTGCCCAGCATAGTTCTGTGCCCTGCGCCATGGGAGTGGACAAACCAGACACTGGTGTTCTGATGAAGGGAGGCAGACAGCAAAAAAGGACCCCATGCATACCTGTCATCCCAGCACATGGGAGGCTGAGGCAGGAGGATTGCTGCAAATTCAAGGCCAGCCTGAATTAATATTGCAAGACCCTGTCTGAATAAGTAATATGAATATTTTCACATGGTTCGTCATTAAGAGATACTGAAAAACACACAATAGCCAAGAAGTGAAAACAAACCCAGTGCCTACAATGACCAGATAAGGAAAATGTGGTAAATTGGTACTGTCCGATGTCCTTCAGCTCCAAGAAGAGTGACACACTTTTGTGTGACAATAAAAGGCCACATAATCTGTAATTGCATTAGTGGCCAGCATATCCAAACCCAGAGAGAAAAGCAAGGTGTGGTGGCACATACCTATAATCCCAGCTATGTGGGAGGCTGAGCCAGGAGGATTGTGAGTTCAAGGCCCGCATAGATAATTTAACAAGAACCTGCCTAAAAATAAGGTCTAGAGGGGATGGGGATGTAGCTCAGTAAAAGAGCACTTGCCTAATTATGCAGGCCTGGGTTCAGTTCCCAGGAGGGGGAGGGCCAGAACAGATTAATGATTGTGTGGGCCAGGGGCCTTGAGAATCAGGGAATAATTGCTTACAGGTTTCTTTTAAGGATGGTGATAAAAGTTTTGTTTTGTGCTAGTGATTGAACCTGGACCCCACACATGCTAAACATGTGCTCATTACTTGAGCTATGCCCTGGGCAGTCATAAGATCAGTCATGGGAATGGTTGTGCAACTCTGAATATACAGAATTATTGAATTGTATATTAAAACCCATTGAATGGATGGAAAGGAAGCAAAATCTATTGGACAGATATTTCAATAAGGCTGCTGAACAGAAAGGATGCAGGTTTCTCTCGTTGGCGCCAGCTGGCAGGTTAGTGTCCCAAGCTGGAGATGTTTTCCAGACAAACAAGCCTGTGTAAGTCTTGTCCTCCCCAACCCCTTTTTGGAGACAGAGTCTCACTGTGTAGTGCAGGCTGGCTTGGAACATGCTTATCTGGCCCAGGCTGGTCTCACCCCAAAGGGATCCTCTTGCCTCAGCCTCCCGAGTGCTAGGAATGAAGGTGTGTGCCACCATGCCCAGCTCTCCTCCTTTTTTGATGTGAATGGAGCTTCCTTGCCTGTTTATAAGTGAATATTTGAAAGGCTTCCTGGGTCAGTGTGGAAAAGACACCCTCATTCCTTTTCCCAGTGCAAGGTGCTTGGTTCCTGAATGTACTGTGTGGCATTTACCAAGCACCCTTGCACGCCGGGGTTTGGGCTCTGCCCATCTCCCCTTGCCAGGCAGTGGGGAGAAGCTCATCCCAAGGGCATTGGGCACAAAGGCCTTGCCAGGATAGCAGTGTCAAATGTAAGTTGTTTGTCACAGCCGGGGCCCTGACAAGTGGGCTCCAGAGAGAAGAGCAGGACCCCAGAGTTGAGGCTGGCCACTCCCAGATGAAGGAAAGCAGGCCCAGCAGGGCGGAGGGCCATGAACAGGAAGGGGAGGAGCACAGCATCTGCTACGCTCGGGCGATGAGACTGAGACATGGTTCCGGGGGGCACACCGGTGCCTTCCTCCTGGGATCTGTGCCCCTTAAATTTTGTGAGAATATACTAGCAGTAATTCAAAAATTGATACAACGTCAAATTTAAAAATAAAATTTTCTCCTAGAGAGGCCATTCCTAATCTAGCACTCAAAAGATACAAGCTCTTGCCAGGCACCATGTTACAGGCCTGTAATCCCAACTACTCAGGAGGCTGAGGCAGGAGGCTTGCCAAGTTCCAGCCTAGTGTGGCCAACTTAGCAATATAGTAAGACTCTGTCCAAAAACAAAAAATTTTTCAAAACCTGGGGATGCAGCTAAAAATGAGAGCCCTGAGTCCAGTCACGGGACCACTATATAAATACATAGCTCTTGGGGTTTGGATTTGTCCCAGTGAGGCACCGAAGAATTGTTTTCTCATTTGCCCATTTCTACACTAGAAGATTGTTGAAAAGTTGCCCGTTGGGGCCAGGGAGATGGCTCAGTAGAATAAGCGCTTGACTGGCAAGCACAAGGGCCTAAATTCAATCTCCTCTTCTGCAAAAAAAAAAAAAAAGAAAAAAGTCGCCTACTTCCCGTGAGCCTCTGCCAGCCCATGGGTCACTGGGGAAAGCTAATGCCATCGGTGTGCGGGGTATATCCAGAAGTGCCCTGGTCCTCAGCACCAGTCATGTGCTTAGGTGCTCATCGACGTGCCGTGTCCAGACCTGGCTCAGGAGCTCTGCCAGAGCTGTGCTGCTGTCCAGGGGCTCCAGAACACACTGCAGCGGGTGCTTGACCAGCGAGAGGAGGCCCGGCAGTCCAGGCAGCTCCTGCAACTTTACCTCCAGGCTCTGGACAAGGAGGGCAGCATCCTGTCAAGGCAGGAAGGTAGGATGCCCCCTGAGGGTTTCTCAGTGTAAGAGGCCCCTGTCTGCAGACACCCCTCCTCCTCAGGGTGCCTTCCTCTGTCCCCCAGCCTGGCTCTCCCCACCTGCTGGGCCATGTGGTTACAGGGCTTGCTAACCTCTCTCTCACATCTGCTCTGCAGAGTCCAAAGCTGCCTTCGGGGAAGAGGCAGATGCAGTTGACACGGGCATCAGCAGAGAGTGCGCCTCTCAAATCACACTTACAAGCCAGATTCTTTCGGCGCTGCAGGAGAAGGCTGCCCCAGAGCTGAGCTTATCTAGTCAGGATTTGGAGGTGGGCGAGGACAAGGGTCGTGGAGCTGCAGAGTGACTTCCCTTGGAGGTGTAGTGGGCCCATACAGAGGCAGGGGCAGGGTTTCTTTTCATCTCTGCAAAGCTGGACCTATAGCCGCTAGTTTGCCTGCTATGTGCCAAAGCAATCGTAAGCGCCTCCCTCATCTAAGCCAAAGACACTTTAAAAAGAAAATGGGTGCACCCCCAATGAACACCCCCCCATATCATTGTTATTTCTGGACCAGGGTTGGCCATGGCAGGGAGGAAAAGCTGGGCTTGAGATTCTGGATGGCTTCCAGCTGGCAAGAGTCAAGGAAGATCCATTGGCCGGGGCAGATGTGGGGCACCCTGTCCTCACAGAACTGGGCTACACAGTTCAAGGCCAGCCTCCACTACATCATGAGACTGTCTCAAGAGAAAAGGCTCTGCAGCCAACCCCAAGACCTATAGAGCAGTGCAGGAGAAGGCCACCCTAGGGACTTCCTGCACTGGCTAAGGCCAGGCCAGGAAAGCTTGACAAAGAGAGCCCATGAGGGTGGGTGCTGCCTCTTACCCACTGTCCATTTCCCCTTCCCAGATCCTCCCTGTTTAGTTCCTTTAGGGAAGGAATTTGTGTTGACTTGAGCTTGGCTAAATTTCCTGTGTTTGAATGCTAAGAGAAGCCACTTGACAATGTCTCAGGGCGAAGCAAAGGTCACATCACCTCCTGTGGCCTGGTCTCACTCCCCTAAGAGAACCCTGAGGTGCAGGTGAGGAGGTCAGAGGCAGTGCCTCTCAGGGGCTCTTGTTCTTGCTGCAGTTGGTCACCAAGGAGGACCCCCAAGCGCTGGCCACTGCTTTGCACTGGGATATAAAGAAGACAGAAGCGGCTCAGCAGGCCTGCACCCAGGAGCTCAGCCGGCGCCTGCAGCAGACACAGAGCTTGTGTTCGCTCAGGACTCTTTCAGCTAGGAAGAGCTCCCTGCCTGGAGACTTGCAGGGAACCAAGCGAGCCAAGCAAGACCCTGCCTAGCTACAGCCGGAAGACACAGAAGGAGACCCACAACAAAGGTTTCTGCTGCCAGTAAACACCCTCAGTCTGGTTATTTTCCTCCCTGCCATCTACTCTGCCCCTGCCTCCAGCTTGTTCTCTTGGCCCCAGCTGCAAGTCTGGCTTGTGTGCCTTCCAGAAAGCCTATTCCAGAGCGCTTCATATCCCCATTCTCTTATGTTTTGTTTTGAGATGGGGTTTCAGTATATAGTTCAGGCTGGCCTTTAACTCATGGGGATACTCCTGCCTCAGCCTCCTGAGTTCTGGGATTACACAAGTGTCCCACCATACCTGGCTTCATCTACCTATTTTCAATGATGTCAGTACACCAAGTCCACGCTGTTCTTAAGTTTTTTTGTTTAAAAGAGAGCCAAGGGGCTGGGAGATAGCTCAGTAAAATAAATGCCTGCCTGGCAAGCATCAGGTCCTGAGTTCAATCCCAAGTACCTAAAAAAAAAAAAAATGAGAGCCAGGCGTGGTGGCACGCGCCTATAATTCCAGTGCTCTAAAGACTGAAGCAGGAAGAGTGCAAGCCCCAGCTGGGCAACCTAGTAAGACCCTCTCTCAAAATTTTAGAAACTGTATTCGGGGGGTAGCACAAGCCTATAGAGTTCAAGGCCAACCTGGGATACTTACTGAGTTTAAGACCAGCTTTAGCGTGACCCTGCCTTAAAATTTTGTTTTTAAAGAGGGCTGGGAAAAGAGCTCAATGCAAAGCCATTTTTCGACCCACAGTATACAAAACATAAGCTCTTATTAGGCTTGACAGGGTCACTTGGTGATAGGTGCAGAGCATGCATGAGGCCCTGGGGTTCAATCCTCAGCACACACTCCCCAGAAAAGTAAATAGTATACATGAAAGTAGCGGTTAAGGACAATGAAAAGAAACTATTATATTTGGTATATTCATACTCTTTTTTTTTTCATACTCTTGTTCTATAGCCAGAACTATAGAATTTGAGATACAATTATATAACCAAGGTGACTGCTGGAGGCCAGACATGGTGACACACATCTGTAATCCCAGCACTCAGGAGGCTGAGGCAGGAGGATCACTGCAAGTTCAACCAGCCTGGGCTGCAGAGTAAGTTGAAGGCCAGCTTGGGCTGCATAGCAAAACCTTGTCTCAAAAAGACACACACACACAAAGAGGTGACTGATGAGAGCTGATGCTAGCTGCAGACTTGTTCCTCTACTTAATGAGTATTTTTGTTTGCTTAGAGGCACATTATTAAGTTTGTAGACCACAGGGACTTACAGAGAGTCTGATTCACCATTTCTAATATCTCAGTCAGTATTGGGAAATTATATCTGTTACCACTGTGAAACTTTCGTTTTCTAATATGTCTTATCAGCAGGGGGGAGAGGAGGTCATTACAGCGATTTCTCTGATACATCTGCAAATCTCACGGGGTGCAGTGCTGAGAACTTCCGGTTTAGACACCTCCTGTTCCTGTGCAGACTTGTTCTGCAGGTTTTGCAATCTGCCGTACACCATCCTTGTGAGGAAAAGGGTGATTGTTATGGCTGATTTATTTGACTTTTTATGGAGAGATCACTGACCAGTTCTATACATCTCTGTTTTTTGAGACAGGGTCTCACTATGTAATTCAGGTTAGCCATTAACTCCAGGCAGTCCTTCTGCCTCAGCCTCCTCCGTGCTGGGATTACAAGTGTGCACCACACACCCAGCTCACATTTATTTTTGGTGCTGGGGACGAAACTCTGGCCCCACACATGCTAAGCAGATGCTTTACCACTGAGCTATTCCCTGAGTGCACACTGGCCAGTTCTTAAACCAAGAAATGGAATGGTCCTGGGGTGGAGGATGGGGTGTAGAAGGCAAAGAGAACGACAGGAAGAACTGTTTCCCTCTGTGACCTTCCAGGAGGGCACAGAGCCACTTGGCATCCTGTTACCGACGCCTTACGCCCGTTGGATTGCATCGGCTCCTGCATTTACCTTCTGTAGCGTATTTTGTAGCGCCTGCCTCCTTTAGCCTTAATAAAAGCCAGCGCTTCTGTTTGAAAAGCATTGATTCAGTGTACCGAGCACAGCGCTTCAAAAGATGGGAGATGAGAATCATCTCCAAGAAAGTGGCATTGCACGTGAGTCCCTGCTGGGGACCCGGGTGCCCTGAGGACATCAGATGCTGTGCAGACAGCAGTGAGTGACGTGGAACTTTGCAGGTGCTGGTAGGATGTGTCATGGCTTCGTCAGATACCGCTGCAGCACTGCCGCTGGAACGGACTGCCCAGCACAGTGAGGTTCTGAACAAAACAGTACATCTATCATTGAGTTACAGTGGAGCTGCACACTCCAAGGCACATTAAAACTGAAAAAGCTGGGCATGGCGGTGCTTCCCTGTAGTCCCAGCACGCGAGACGCTGAGACAGGAGGATCACAAGTTCAGAGTCGGCCTGGGCTACAAACTGAACTCAAGGCCACCTGGAACTACGTAGCAAGGCTTTGTCTCAAAAAAAATGTGTAAGGGCCTAAGTTTAATCCCCAGTTCTGCCAAAAAAAAATGCTAATTTAAAAAATAAAACATGGGTGTAGGGAGATGGCTCAGTGGAATAAACGCTTCCTTGGCAAGCACAAGGGCCTGAGTTCAATCCCTGGTTCCTCAAAAAAAAAATAATAATACTAACTTGTTGTGTTTTTCTGTATGAAGCGGGATTTGGCTCCAGGCTAAGGTAATTTTGAACAGGTTTGCATCTATGTGAAGGCCTAGCAGGACCACCAGAAGTCATGGGGCCCTGCTTTCATGCTTGTAGTAAGTTCAGCTGCTCAGGAGGCTGAGGCAGGAAGGTGTTGAGCCCTGGAAAGCAACGCCCTTGGGGCTTTTTGTGCAACTTTTAACCTGCTGAGTCCCAGCATGCACCACGTGGAAGCCTCAGAAACAGACTCAGCTGGGCTCATCTTGTCTGTGACCTCCACACGTCACAAAGGCTACAGAGTGAATTCAAGACCAGCCTGAACTACACATCAAGACCCTGTCTCAAAACAGGGATCCTGAGTTCAAGGTCAGCTTGGGATACAAAGGGAGACCCTCTCACAAAGGACAGCGGCTGGAGTGTAGCTTGGTAGCAGAGCACTTGCAAAAGATAAAGTAGCGGCTTGTGTAGCTGACATCCCCTATGCAGAGAGGGATCGCTTTCCTTCCCTGGCTAGGCAGGGCAGTAGGTCAGTGAGGCCACTCTGTCACCAGTCACCTCCCTGACCTCCCTGACAAATGCCATAGTGGACCCTCTAGTTAGGCTGGGTTCTTTTTCTTTTTAATCTTTTATTTATTTATTTGATACAGAGTCTTGTTATGCTCAGATGCCTAGTGATCTTCATGTCTTAGCCTCCCCAGCAGTGGGATTATAGGCTTTTGGTGGCACAGCACACCCAGGGTTCTCGGGCCAGCACAGCATGCAGTACCAGGGATCGAACCTGGGTCCTTGCGCTGGCCAGGCAGGCACTTAGACCACCAAGCTATCTCCCCAGCCCAACAACTTGGGCTCTTAATGGCAGTTTAGTTTTAACTTAAAACCAAAGTCTTGAGTTCTGACCCAAATGCCAGCTGCTTATGCTTCCAAATGATCTCAGATACGGAATTAACCCTTCAAGAGTTCTGGAAAAAAACGTGACATCCTTTCCTGTCCATAGGGTTAGTTGAGAGCTGGGGAGATAGCTCAGTGGAGTAAGTGCTTGCCTGGCAAGCACAAGGTCCTGAGTTCGATCCCTGGTACCACCAAAAAAAAAAAAAAAAAAAAAAAACCCCGGTTCAAAAAAAAAAAAAAAAAACAACAATGAAGAACTGGGAGCTTTGGTTCAAATACCTGGGTTGGATGTGGTGGCACACGCCTGTAATCCTATAGAGGCTGACGCAGGAGGACTGCATAGGGTTAGTTGAGAAATCCTGGGCTACTTTTTCTAATGAGCCTTTGACAAGTTGAGTTACGGCCAGCCCCTGGGAATGTATTGAGTTTGGAAGTTGGGTCCACCGTATGTCTAAAAATAGCCATGAGCAGACAAGCAGGCCTGACATCATCCTGCTCCTGGTAGGAAAAAAGAATGTCAAAGCAGCTGGACTAATGAACTCCCCATTAGTGGTGTTCCATTCTTTCAGTGAGTCAGATGTCGGTCCCCATTAGGCACCAGGCTTGACAGGCACTGCGCTAATTGCCACTTACCAGCTCACCAGCCCCGCGTTCCTGGGTAAGAGCAGGAGAAAACTAATAGATTTTTTATTTTCCACAGAGAAAGGAAATAATAGTATATATGTTTTTTAAAAATGCTTTAATTACAAGAATTATTAATGTGCCTTTACCCATCAGATTGGCTGCTTAATTTCCTAATTAATTTTTTTCCTTCAGTCATTTTTTTTTTTTTAATGTATTTGATTGTTACAGGGGCTCACCATGCAGCTCGGACTCAGTGATCCTCCTGTTCTCAGCCTCCCCAGCGCTGGGATTACAGGCATACAGTGGTGCCAGGGATTGAACTGCGGTCCTTGCACTTGCTTTAAGCAGGAGCTTGCCTAAGTAGGCACTTCACTCCACTGTAGCCCAGGTTGATCTCAAACTCAAAAAGATCTTGCTGCCTCAGCTTCCTGAGTTCTGGGATTACAAGTGTGTGCCACCACCCCACTTCAGATATTAAACTGATAAGAACACATACTATACTTGATCTTAGCCAAAAGGCTGAGAATCAATTGTTTGAGACAAGTGTCTTGCTGTGTAGCGCAGGTTGGCCTGAAACTTGCTGTGATCCTCCTGCCTCAGCCTCCGAAGTCCTGGAATCAGAAGCGCACCACTAGCCCTGCTGAAAATTTTAGAACTTTGGAAGAGATGGCGGAATACTCACGCACTGCCCAAGCTCCCACAGAGCTTGCTCGTGAGTCCTTCAGCCAGTGTAGAAAACTGCAGTGGGCGAGTGTGGTGGCACATGTCTGTAATCCCAACATGTGGGAGGCTGAAGCAGGAAGCTGGCTGTGAGTTCAAGGCCAGCCTAAGAGTAAGACCCTATCTCAAACAAGAGAAAGCTGCAGTGAAGGCCAGGGGCTCCCCAAACGGGTCACACTGCACATTCGGACCAAGGAGCCTTATGCCCTGGTTTGCCCAAGTAAGACAGACAACACGTACAGTTCCAGCGGTGGTGCGCACACACTGGGGCTCCTTTGGTGTTTCTCCAGAAGTGTCACACTTTCCATCAGTGTGTGCTTATTTTAATAAGACAGCACCCCCACCTCCACCCCTGCAGTGCAGGGAATAAAGCACAGGACCTTTGTCCTAAGCTGCATCTCCAGCCCTTTTTTAGTTTTTTTAGTTTAGTTTGTTTTTTGGGTTTTTTTTGGGGGGGTGGGGGGTGTTTTATTGTTGTTTTTTTGTTTTCTTGCAGAACCAGGGATTGAACTCAGGCCCTTGCACTTGCCAGGCAAGTGCTTATTCTACTGAGCTATCTCCCTGGCCCCTTTTTAAGTTTTTTGAGACAGGGGGGTCTTGCTATATAGTTCCGACTGGCCTTGAACTCACTGTGTGTATCCAGGCTGGCCTCTAACACAGCAATCCTCCTGCTTCAGCCTCCCAGTTGCTGAGATGATGGGCATGAACACTCAACTTTTTTTTTTTTTTTTTTTTAGATATTTCTAAGTTTACCGGGCTGGGCTTGCAAACCACCTGCCTTGCCTACCGCAGTGCCCAAATGACAGTCTTGTGCCACCATGCCTTCTACATAAGTGCTTTTATTATCTGGATGAGGACTGAGAAACAGTGAGCTGTTCAGCTGGCCTTTGCCTCTTCCTTTCTATACAAAGTCCAGTTAAAATAAATCCTTTTTGGATTTATTGAAAATGGAATCCCTTGCTGGGAGTGGTACGTGTCGATAAGCCCAGAACTGCAGAGGCTGAGGCTGGTGTGCAAGTATGAGTTGGAGGCCAGTCCTGGCCCACACAGTGAGTTCAAGGACAGCCTAACTTAATACAAAACAAAAAATTACAGTCCCTGACCTAAGGTAGTTGGCGCTTGGCGGGTTCCCTGATGATGTCATTGGTAAAGCCTTGTTATCCCCAGGTACTTACTACTTAAAATGTAAAACCAGCTATTTTAAGGACTGTGGATGGAGGAAACTGACCAAAACTGAGAAGCAGCCTTTTCTTTTACACATAAAAAATATGTATTTTATTGGGGTTTTTTTTGCAGCAGGGTCTTTTCTTTTTCTTTAGGGAAGGGTCTACAGGGTGTTCGGGGTCTCGAAGTGATCCACCTGTTTATAGCCTCACAAGAGCTGGGGTTACAGGCGCATGCCCAGTCTCAATTGCTGTCTCAGCGCACCCCGGCGGCGGGGCCGGCACAGTAGGCCCCTGCCCTGCCCTGCTTGCAGGCGCTTTAATCCATCCGCTGAGCTATTTGGCCAGCTGTGACAGGGTCTGCTTTGTAGTTCACACTGGCCTCAAATTTAGGACAGTCCTCCTGCCTCAGCCTCCTGAGTGCTGGGATTATAGGAACGTAGAAAAATCTTTAAAAAGGCAAACTTCTGGGGCCAAAGAGGTAGTTCAGTGGCATAAGCACCTGCCTGGCAAGCGCAAGGTCCTGAGATCGGCTGGCCTTTGAGGCCAGCATCTTCCAGCAGTGCGCTGACCCAGTTAGCATGTCCTAAAGCTGCTGTGTTGGAAATGTGGATGCTATTAAGCCTCTCCCATCACAGGAGACTTTATCCAGCTAGTAATTAGGAAGATGAGCCCAGCTCTGCGAAAACGAACAGAAAGGTCAGCAGTCAGCTCAGTGACTCTGCTCCCCTGGTGTCACGAGAAAGGCTAATATTCAGTGTTCTCTGCCAGCCAAGGCTGGTTGTCCCAATATTAGGTCTGACCCTCAGAAACTTGGCCTAGCTCCGGGTGTGACTGCAAAGCCTTCTTTGAGACAGGGTCTTGCTATGGAGGCCAGGCTGGCTGGAACTCTTTATGTAGCCCAGGCTGGCCTCAAAGTTACAATGATCCTCCTGCCTCAGCCTCCCGCTGGGATAACAGGTGTGCACCACTACACCCAGCTTCTAAACTTTAATAAAATTCAGCATTTAGCATCTTGACTAGGGTGTTGGACCAGCCTTTCCCCACCCTAAGACCCCGTTACATTGTCCCTCTACCCATCACCACCATCCCTTAGGTAGGCTGCCTTAGACCTCAAGATACAACACCACAATGGGGTGTTTCCTTTAATGTCTGTGACTCAAGAGTCCAAAATAATCTTGTAATCAAGCTAGGGTTTCAGTGCTGTGAGGAAGAATTACAATGTGATAAGTGTTTTTGAAATCCAGCAGTTTACCCCTAACTTCATTCCAGCAGACCAAAATCCTGCTCATGGAGTGCCTTAGAGGATGCTCTGTATCACATCACACGGAGTGAAATTCTCCCAGCCAGGTGCACACCTACAATTGGAATCCCAGCTCTTGGCAGGCAGAGGCAGGAAGATCTCGAGTTTGAGGCTAGTCTGGGTGCCTTAGTGAGACCTCAACAAAAAAAAAAAAGGAAAAGGAAATTGTCTGTCATTCCAATTTTATTTATCCATACTAGGGATCAAAGCCAGGAGCTTTATAGTAAATTATATCCCCAGCCTTTTTAAATTTTGGGATAGGGAAGTGTTAAATTGCTAAACTGGCCCCATGGGGATATAGCTCAGTAGCACAGTGCCTGCCTGGCAAGTGTGAAGTTGTGAGTTTGATTCCCGGTACCAAAAAACAACATAAGAACAGACTTTTAAACTGCCCAGGCTGGGCTCAAATTTTGAGACCTGGGGGCCAGGGAGATGATTCAATGGAATAAGCGCTTCCCTGGCAAGCACAAGGGCCTGAGTTCAATCCCTGGTTCTGAAAAAAAAAAAAAAAAAATTAAGACCCTCCTGCCTCAGCCCACAGCCTCTCAGGAGGCAGGGATTATTGGCAAGCACCACCATGCTCAGCTTTTTTTTTCTTCCCACTTTTTTTCAGTACTTGAGATTGAACCAGAGCCTTTGTACTAAACTATATCTCTAGCCCTTTTTAAGTGTTATTTTTTTGTTTTGAGAAATGGACTTAATGATATAAGCCACTAAGTTGCACAGGATGGGCTTAAATTAGGGATCCTCTTGCCTCAGCCTCCCAGAGTGCTCCAGTAACCTTCATCTAACCATTATCCACTGGAAACAACTAAGGAATTAGGAAGCAGGAGAACAGCTGTACACAAAATACAACAAGGTCCTGAGTTCAGTCCCCGGTACCACCAAACAAAAATACTGACAAAGTCCCAGTATGAAACCTTGGAAGAAGCCAGGCATGGTGGTGACTTTGGTAGTCCCAGGAGAGGCTGAGGCAGGAGGGTCACCAAATGTTCAAGGCCAGCCTGAACACAGTGCAAGCCAGCATGAACTATAAAAGCATGACCTTGTCTCAAACCAAAACTAACGCTTGATGGGCGCAAGCCAAGGGCTGGCTGGCAGCTTCGCTGGGGTCTCTATTTTGAAGTCAATACTTTTAAAAGTAGACATCAAAGCAAAACTGAAGCCATGATCTGCAAGAAGAATTGGAACAAATTAATATTGTTACTAATTAAAACTGGAACATAATAGCAAGTTTGAATATAACTTTTATAAGCATGTCAGCATGATGCCTAATAGCAGGACAATTGTTTTAAAATTAATTTTAGTTAAAACATAAAGAGTAATTATTTTGCTCTTGGAGCACAACGTAAAAACTATGCTTACAAAGCTTTTGGTGCTGGGAATCAAATGCAGGGCTTCGTGCATGCTGGGTAAAGGCACTGCCACTTGCCAAGGTTAGGTACTTCCTGTCAAAGAACACTGAGGAGGCTCTTGGGAACTCGTGTGTCTGTGCCAGTGTGTGTCTTACTGGGGACGACTCCAGGGCCTCTGTGCTGCACCCATGCCTGTTACTTTTCACATTAAAAACCTTTTTGTTTTTGGAGATAGGGTCTCACTGTAGCCCAAGCTGCTGTCAAACCTATAGCAGAAAAGTGTTCTCGGAGTCTGGGCGTGGTGGTCCATGCCTGTAATCCCAGCATTAGGGAGGCAGAAAGCAGGATCACTCGGAGTTCAAGCTGTGTAGTGAGACCCTGCACCACAAAAAAAAAGTGTTCTTTTGGGCCAGGGAAATGGCTCAGCAGCACAGTACCTGCCTGGCAAGCACAAGGTTCTGAGTTTGATTTCTGACATATGTCCCCTCCCCCCAAAAAGTGTGTTCTCTTTAGATTCCCAATTACTCAGGTATGGGAGATTACTGAAATTTATGGTGGTTTTGTTTTGAGACAGGGCATCACTATACAGTTCAGGGCCTTCACACCTGGCCATTATAGAAATTAATTTTTTTTTTTTTAATTTTATGGTTCTTTTTAGACAGGGTCTCACTATGCAGTTTAGGCTGGCCTTGAGCTCACTTTGTAGCCCAGGCTTGTCTCAGACTTGCAGTGATCCTCCTGCTTCAGCCTCCCACATGCTGGGTATTATGGAAATTTAAATTAAAATACTTTGCAAGTGACACACAAGAAAGATGACGATGCTGAATTCACTTTATTGGGGTCATACCCAAGCAAGATGGTGGGGAGTCTATTTGCAGGAGGAGAAGGTCTTCCAGAAGAAGTTTTTACAGCGTGTTTTGTCTCGCCGAGGGGGCTGCTGAAGGGGCGCGCCATCCTGTCGCTTAACCACCTCTCTGGCGGCCCCCCGGATGAGGTCCCCAGTGCTGGAGTGGGAGGTCCACGAGTGCCACCTCGCAAGGAAGGTCAGGAGGCTGTTTTGCTTTATTCCCACCACCTCCTGCGAATGCTTGTAAAGAAAAGCAAACGACAAAGGAAAGACAAATCAGTAGCCTGCCTCTGGAGGCATGAAAAGATTGGCAGTCTCTTAATAGGAAGGAAGGATGGAAGGACAGACAGATGGAAAGATGGAAGGAAGGAAGGAGTTTCCTCAGCAATGAATGACATTTCCATTTAGAGGATGAATGCTCGCTTTGGTAGCACATACACTAAAATTGGAACGATACAGAGAAGATTGGCATGGCCCCTGCGCAAGGGTGACATGCGCTGTTATCATGAAGTGTTCCATATTTGTAACCACCTATAATATTCAAATAAGGGAACTAAACAAAAAAAAGGATACAGACGAATGTCCATTTTGTATCTGTGTATTCAAATGGTTAGGATAGATATATAGTTACATTCTCTTAACGAATAGAGGGATTTGTCCTAATGGTGTTTGTAAATAGGATATCATGTCCGCATCTTGTACAGCAAATAACCACTAGGAAGAATGTATGCAATGTGTTAATTATTGAAACTGTTCTACCAATTTGGTTTGAAACTGTTTCATTGCTATTTGTTTCTCAATAAAATAAAATTTTTAAAAATAAAATAAAATGTGTTCCCATCCTCAAAAAAAAGGATGAGAAAGTTAAGAGAAAGCCTTAAAGAAACTGCTCTAATTAAGGAAAAGAAACATTTGACAATTGCAGTCCAGGAAAAACCCCTGGCTGGTTCTGCCCCATTGTATTTACTGAGGTCCTTAATTACAAGGGTCAGGATGCTGGTCTCCTGCCAGGTGGCTGGCAGTAGGAAGCCCGAGGAGCTGGGTGGGTTCAGCTTGTTCCCATCTCGTACGCTCCTGGGCCCCAGAACTGCTCTGACACAGTTCACAGTGTAGTGCTAAATTCCACTCTTTCCTACTCCTGAGGAAGCCTCCAGTGACAAACGGCCTGTCTGAAACTCATCTGGTAATTTCAGAGAAAAATCCATTTTTAATGGTCAACTTTATGTACTCTTTCTTGGAACTTTTTCAAAACGGAAAAGAAAAATAAATCACCTCCCAAAGTTACAAATTCTCACCATGGAAAATGTAATGATGTCAATTCATTGGAGCCAGACAGAACATGGCTGGGAAGATGAATTAAGGCCCCGGAAGCCCTGGACAGGAGCCACTCCTGAAGGCACAGCCTGGAGCAATCACTTTGCGCTCACCAAGGCAGCTGGGGCACAGAGAGGCACCAGAGCACTGCCTGTCACTAAGGAACTACAGGCTGGCAGGGAAAGGAGCTGAGAACCAGGTTGCAAACAACCCCACAGTGTCATGGTTCAGCACCTTGCACACATATACACACATGCTCACACCTGGCTGCCCAAATGCCAAGCACAGAGATGGGCAGAGAGCAGGCTAGCAGATGGCCAGGAGGGGACCACACTCACCATGCTGTCCTGGCTGGCGGGGTCACCTTCCAGAGTGAGAGAGGTGGCTCCTGAGAGTGGCAGCGGCAGCAGCAGCAGCAGCAGCAGCAGGGTCCCACAGGCCCAGAGCCCTGTCCCTCGGGCTTGGCGGCCACCCATCCTGGGCGGCTCTGGTGCCGGCACAGTGGAGGCTGGAGGCCAGGTCTGTCAGGCTCTGGTGCAGGCTGTTGCTCTCCATGCCGGGGGAGCACCTGAAGCCCTTTCTTCATGCTTCAGTGATGACGCAGGTGCCCAGCGATGAGCGCGCACAAAAGCCTTCTGTGCCCCCTTAATGAAAGCCTCAGGTCTTTTTCTGCATTTAGAGCGAATTTGCTCTTATTTTGGAATGCATGTGCGCTTGCTTTGGAGGAAGTTCGACTTCCTCGTAATTATGCCTACCACAAGCAGGAAGCCATGAGAACAAAACCAAGTGATTTAACAAAATATAAAATTAGCCTCAGAGGAGCTGAAGATGTGAATTTTCGCCCATGTATAATTTTGCCCATCACTGCAGGGTTGGGGTGGAGCTGAGTGGAGCGCGTGCTTTGCATGCCTGAGGCCCTGGTTTGATCCCCTGCACCAAGAAAAGGTGACTGATCTGCCAGGAGCAGGAGAAGACTCAGAGCAGTGAGAGCCCAGATGCGCACAATGACAGCACTACTGACTTCAGCCAGTTACGGGCAAGGTCACCCAACCAGTCGTGCCCCTGGCCTAGCAGGTCAGACCAGCTGTCCAAGTTGTAGGACATTCTAACATGGCCAATGACCTGTGGTCTTTATGCTGCATGCTGGACACTCAGAAGCCTGAGGCAGGAGGACTGCCGGGAGTTCAAGGCCAGCTTGAACTACATAGAGACCTTATCTCAAATAACAGCAACAAAATACACCGAATGTTCCCGTAAGTGACATTAAAATTTTGAGGTGTTCTTGCAGATGACAAATTCATGGCAGCTCAGCCAGTTTCCTGTGTCCTTAGTATATTTTGCAAGTTGTTGTTATTATTTGTAGTACCTGGTATTAAGCCCAGGTCCTCGCACTGAGTTTGGCACCATTTTATTTTGCTTCCAAACAAGGTTTCACTATCTTGCCAAGGCTGACTTGAACTCATGATCCTCCTGCCTCAGCCTCCCACATAGGTAGGACCATCAGCATGCACTACTACACCCAGCAGATTCTCCAGATGTTATCTAATGGACCCACTAAACGTTCTGCTCACCGGGCAGGTCCACAGAACTCATACTATAAAGGCCCCAGGCCATCTGCCCCGACAGCCTAAGGGGCAGGACAAGAGGACGGCATTCCAGGGGAGAAGACCGTGCCAAGAGGGGCTCGGTGCTACAGGCGGGCCGCCAGGGCGGGGGACGTTTCAGGACAGTATTATTGGCTGTCAATAAGGGGCCTGGGATTTGGAGAATTTGATACTGCCCTCTGGTTTTGTTCTTTGAGACAGAGTCTCACTATGTAGTACAGGCTGGCCTTAAACTCGCTGTCTAGCCTGGTTACAGGTGTGTACCACCAGGGCTGGTGAGATGGCTCAGTGGTCTAAAGCAGCTACTTAGAACAAGCTCAGCAAAGCATGGGACCGCGGTTCAAACCCCCAGCACCACATGCCAGCCAGCGCTGCCCCCTGGTGGGCTGAGCTGGCCACACACAAAATAAATAAAAAAATTTTTAAAAAAA